CTCCCTCCCTGTCTATCCTTGTATCTGAGCTTAATTTCCTGGAGACCATTGTTTAATGAATGTCACAGAATGTAAGGAGTTTCGGTAGGGTTGTTTATTGGCGTGTTCGACACCAAGCTTAAGCATATGTTTACAAAAAGTTCACAACACCTAATCAACGGTACGGTCAAAGTGGGATCCGTAAACCCCTTTGTATTTTCTGGCAGCACTCATAATTACGCTCTCACTTCATACAAAAAACACTATATTCATCTAATTCAAATTTCTGAAACAACGGGCATGTGACAGCACGGATGCGTGTCGTCAGCAATTGTCTAACCACAAATGAAAACATCATTATCTCCCTACAATCCACCTGTATGTAACGCAAACGATCTAACATTATGTAAACAGACAAGTGCAAACTTTGCTGAAATGTGCTTCAGTCACTGTGTTGCACACATGGCACATTACAAGTCATACAAGTCATAAGTCATACACAATGATTACTATAATGCCTTACACAGGTAGTCTGCTGAGACTGAACTGCCAAAGAAGTAGTACTACATACTAGGAGATGTGACAACTGAATTAGTGTCAGTACTCTGACTGCATGGTCTCATTATAACATATCGTTATTATAATTACTAGTTTATTTCTATTCTCAATGAAAGGCATCCAATGCAATTTTTCTGGTCCTTCATTCAATGTACTAACTTAAAAAAGTGAATCAACCGGAGCATACTGATGTATGTGAGGCAAGACTGTAAAGGCATTGATTAAAAAACGTTCCTTGTTTTGTATCGTAGGCTGGTTCTTGCTTTTGTATTGTAGGCTGTATTCGTGCATAAATAAAGAGTAGCTTTTTTTTGCTTTATTTGCAGACTCTTTAAATTTAAACTTCTGACGAAAACGTGCCACGAAATGGCAGTAAAGTCGGGTTGACAATTTCTTCATTTCTTCATATTTTTTTCCTGCCCTGAAATTGCATTGGCTGCCCGAAGCTTATAGGTAAAACGTATCATCAACCACAATGTACAAAGTGGGCTGGCCGATATCCACATGTTTCCTACTCGTCCGGATATACCATCCACCGTGGAAAGATCCTGACGACATAGTCAGAGGAGTCGATTACCACCAACTGTCCACCCGGCCCCAAGGCAATGCCCCGCGGCTTTGTCACGTTCACGACCATACGGACAAACTCCCCGCGGCTTGTGAACATATCCACCCGCCCGTTGGCCCAGTCAGCCACCATGAGGCGACCCTGGGGGTCCATACAAATACCTCCAGCCACACCGGTGACAGCCGTGCGGAAAGAGAACAGGCGCTGTCCGTTATGATCATACACATGGACACCAGGGAGGGAACTAACCGTAACGAGGATATTCCCGTCACTGTCTGATGTGACGTATTGCAGTCTGTTGCCTTCTTTCTTGCCAAAACTTCCATCCAACGAGCCGTTTGGTTTGAACTTGAACAGTTCGTTACCTGCTACCACGATTATTTTGTTATAGCGCTTGTTAACTGCAATTGTGGGGTACCAGGTAAGCCGTTTTACGTCAAACGTGGTGACCGGGAGGCCGTCTGTACCGTACTGTACCACAGTCACAGCGCCGCTTGTAACGCGATCTTTCCCCACCACCCAAATACGACCCTCCCCATCAATGTCCACGTCGGTAGGGTACATCGCTCGGCCAACTCCGCCAGGAACCTCCGTTGGGAAGAGGCGGAGGAAGACGCCATTCATGCTGAAGACTTGGACACGTTTGTTAACCATATCTGCGACTAGTATCTCATTGTCAGCAGACACTGCCACTCCGTTGGGATCTTGCATTTGTCCGGGTGACTTGCCCTGTCCTCCAAACACGATTGGCTTCGATTTGCCGTTTCTGTCTGCAGTAGCACAATAGCGAGTACAGTATATACTTTTATTACGAAACTTTCATCATACTAGTGCAATGCACAAGTAAAAAAATGTTAGTCACATTTGGATTTTACCTCGGGGAAGGAGATATCCTTCCGCGGAAGGGTTCTGTTTTCGGTAAAATTTGTGTGTTAGCAGCTGTAACTCACGGTGGGTTAGTCGGATTTCTTTCACATTTGGTACATGATTGGTTCCAGATAATGCTTGTTAATTTTTTTCTCTCTTCAACAAATCATAAAGGCTTAGAAAAACATCTATAGACGGCTCAAGTGGGAAAGAAAAATGCTAGTGCTTTCGGTGGATACATAGTGCAGTGTTACAAGATCTCTGATTACTAATCATGATGGTCTTCATTTGTATAGTCTTGCCCATATGGGTTGAATGCAGAGATAATACTATTCCATCAAAGACTAAGGGTAAAATATCACTGCCAGTAGTATAGATAGTGAACAAGGCAATATCTGTACTAGCCTGGGTACCATCCAGATTTTCGCTCCGCAACGCTCCAAAAAATCACAGAGCGTTGTGGGGCGAAAATTCGGATGGTACCCAGGCTATACTTGTACATCTATCGTTTACAAGACAGTAAAGGCAAGTTAAAAACGGAAGATTCTAACGTAGAAACCCTTACAAAAAGACCACTTTGTCACGTACATATTGAGGACAGTTACCTGTTGATGTGCTGAAGGTTGATGACAGTACGTCACTCTGTTGGGTTGTGGAGGTTGAAGGAACTGTCGATGCTGTCTGTCCATTTACTGAACGATTCTGTCAAAGAACAACCGTTTGGAAGAATAACAATTAACATAAGTTGAAAAAAAAATGAGCGTGTCGTCACCACGTCTGGTGATTACATGTTGGAACAAAAGAAAATTAACATAGGCTTTAGGACAATGAAATAGGTCGACGAAGCTCAGAATATAGGGGGTTTGTAGAGTCTGAGAAGACGACAACAAAGAGGAACCATTCAGACAAGCATCAAATTAGTTTTTAACATCTTCTAGGGCAATAAACCAAGTCCATGCTGCACAGACGATACGGGACTTGTGCCTGAGAAGACTTGTGTCAACAAAGGACAGCCATTTAGACAAACACCAAATTATTGTTCAACATGTTATAGGGCAGTGACCTGGTCAATGATGCACAAAACATACGGGGATGGTAGAGTCTGAGGGGCTCAAAATACTCAATATAATCGAAATAAGTGCACCCAAATTTGGAGCTGTGCACCCAATTTCTACTTGCATGAAAAATGGAGGCATTGTTTTTGGCGTGTCTGTGTGTCTGTCTGCCTGTGTGTATGTTTGTGTTTCCGCACATTTGTAGTCAGCATAACATCAGAAAGCCTTTATGGATTGTGGTGATATTTGGTATGCTGGTAACTCTTAGGAAGACAAAGGTCAATGTCCAATATGGGCCTCCTGGTGGATGACCTTGGTACAGCAGCAGAACTTCCGGTTTTAGTATCTTTTGTCCTGAACATGGTGTTGACTTTTTGGTGACAGATAGCTTTTCCTGTCAGGAAAAAGGGGTGTGGGCTTGGTCCCCCGAGCAGCTAGTTCTGGAACTGCAGGGGACTTTCTGGCATTTGCATAATTAATAAGGACAATGTCATGTTTAAAGTATGACAAAGGAGAGGCATTTTACACTAAGAATATTGTTATTTGAATTTAGAAAACCATAAATTAAACTAGATTATGCTAATTACGACCTTATTTCCATAGTCAATGAGACAAATAATATTTACAAAAACTCATATATTTCATGGAGGTATGAGATCTCCGAATTCTAGTTTTTTTCTGTGGGAGCACCAGTGAACCCAAATATTTCCTTTGGTTTGATGTATGTAAAGATGTTAAAAGTATATATAGTAGTTACAGCATATTCTTAACCTGTAAGGTTCAGAATAATACAATAAAGTATAAAACAATACAATCTTTGTTTTGGTACTTTTCTGGAAATGAAACATAATTATAGTCTTTGCAGACATTCTAGCTATTTTACCATATATGGTGCACCTAAAATATTTTTATGCACCTCATGTTTTAGGTTGGGTGCACCTGTGAACCTATTCCCAAAAATTTATTTACAGTTCTGGTTCAAAAAGCTAACAACAGAACAAAAGAAGCAACGCAGCTGACCGTTTGATTCAGCAAGAGATCGACCATTGCCGTCTTCACAGAACTGCAGCAGGCTGGGTGGTCAGTGGTGAAGGGGCTGTCCAGATTGGGTTGACCAGTAGTGAGGGCAGTGTCCACAGGCTGTGTAGGCTGTAGGGAGGATTCTTGTACAGTCTACAGTCAACGTCACATGAACAGAACGGACTGGGATATTGATAATTAGCCGTTTCATAACGGTGTAGGATATATCCTCCCTATTTTGGGATACGAGAATGGCAATTCATCTATGACGGCACCGTTTCTAATAGATAATAGCCGTGACACCTAAAGGTGACATACAGGTAACCAAGGAGAATATACCGATTTTATCCTCTCGGTTACCCTTAAATCTGATGTTCATATCATGCATTAAAAACAAAGACCTCTAATTGCAATATATTCCAGTATCCTAGACTAGCATGCGGAGAATATCTTCCACGCCGTTATGATTGCCGACTGATTGCCGATATCCTAGCCGGCTCTGTGATGTTGATTGTATACGAATCGGGATGGAGTGTCAGTAATTAAGGCCTGATAACATTCGTCCTAGGTCTTAGTTACGTTTCTGCTGGCGTAAGGTTTTCAAGCAACTTGTAACAGAATAAACTACCGACACCAGACCAACCGTGTAACCTGGCCTCGAGTTGTAAACATATTTCATAGTTGTTATCATATTTCCCATATAGGGAGCTTGAAAGGTAAATGTTAGAAGTTCGTGGGGATCTGTATTTTTAGTTACTATAATAGGTTTGTCCAAAATAACAAATAAATGTGCATAGTAAAAGCCAAACACAAGTAATCAATTAAATGGAGCCTTGCTATATTTTGTGTCATGTTCTGCATTCATTTTTTTCAAAATATTCTAATACAAGCATTTGCACCAGTAGTGCCTTACATAGCAAGGATAAATGTGCATAGTAAAAGCCAAGCACAAGTAATCAATCGAAAGGGGCCTTGATATATTTTGTGTCATGTTAGTTAATTTTTTTTTTCAAAACATTTTAATACAAGCTTAAACATGAAAAGCATTTGCATCCTATCTGAAAATATTGTGGTTAGAAATAGACACTGGATATAAAACACTATGAATAAAGAAAAAAAGAACATAAGAGCAGCTCGCCTCTTGACTGTTATGTTGACTGGTGTTGAGGTACAGCCCGGTAAGGGTCCCTACTAGGATCAACAACATCAGAACCACGGCAGCAGTTACAGCAGGGCAGATCCAGCCTGGCGTACACACTGGAAAAGTAACTGTCTTCCATCACATTTATTTATTCATATCTAAAGTAAAAGAATGTGTACAACATAACACATAGTATGCATAGTATCATAGTATGCATAGTAGTTTGCAAACTAACAGCCATTGAAGCATTCTCATTTTTTTATATACTATGATACATGTACAAACACACGCACAAACGCATATGACCTCATTCGACCTAATTGTTAAAAGACATACAGATTTGGCTATGGCTGTACAGTCCTAAAAGAGAGTGATAGTCTCTGTCACACTACGCGCACACACATGCACACGCACGCACGCACACACACACACACACACACGCGCAAACACACACACATACATACACACATACACACAAACACGCATATATTTATACATGTACATATACGAATGTGCACTTGCACGCACCCACACCTACATTACGACAAGTACAATGATGCGAAATCGACTACGTTGAAAGATAATATGTCCCACCAGAACCTGCTCCTTGGTCATCATCCGCGTCGCCTCCACTGTTTTCATCACTGTCAACTTGCCCTGCAGTTTTCAGGATTTCAGTCGGAGGAATTGGAGGCCTCATGTTGTCTTCCGAGAAACCGCCTGTGGTGCCTCCTGGTGTCACGTCTGAGTCCGGACCCTCGGCCATGATTTGCTCTGGAGCTTATGTTAGTTACTAAAGTCGATATAATACCAGTAGTGTGCAGGCTACCAGCATTAAACAGGTTACCGCTACTTTCTACTTCAGTTTGTTTTATTTATGTAGACACTATTAATTTATTCATTAAAAGGGTGCTGTGCTCTCGTTGGTTCAATATAACTACATACATGTATCATTTGTACGTGTCATCATTGGTAAACATTATTTTTCTCTCTTGAAATTGGCAATTATGATGATACCAAGAGGAAATGGCAAAACTGCGCCATTGCCATTAAAAAACCCACTATCTAGGTAATTGTTTGAAGTGGCAGACAATTTCAATCATTAGGTTGTTGGTTGTGCAACGTGACCCAGCACTGTTCATATTATATATCTTTCATTTTAACTGTTCGGGAGGGGGTCCTGGTTTAGAAGATCATCACACTTTACAAAATTTTTAGTGGCTTGTTCTAGATATGTATCTACCATAGGTTAAACATGTAATATTTGCTTGATGTTACAGGTATTTCTCTCCCCCCCCCTCCTTTTGCTCTCACTTTCTCACTCTTTGGAGATGACAAAATAGCTGAAGCAATAAAATTACTATTTTAGTCACAATAAAGCACGTCTGGCTTTGGGATTATGAATATTTCGAATAGAATAACTTTCAACGACATACCTTTGTAATTAGGTTTATACTTATCCCACTCGGTCATGTGTATGATGCGATATAGGTTTACGTGTATCAATTGTTATACGGATGTTATTGTTGTTATAAAGTTGTTGCAACTATTTGGCCATTTATTTTATATAAATATTTGTTAATATGATATAATATAATATAATATAATATAATATAATATAATATAATATAATATAATATAATATAATATAATATAATATAATATAATATAATATAATATAATATAATATATCAGAATGAACAACGTGGGACGGGGCCTAGGCCTGGTTTGAATTCGAATCAAGATTCTGGGCTAAAGGTTACATGATGCCTAAATACTATAGTGATGGACTCAGTTTTGAAAAACAATAGACAAAAATGTTCAGCACTAAAGCTTTATTTCTGTACATTATCTTCTCTATATACAAATGTCGCCCAATACTAAAATACGTATGTCGATGTCATAGAAAAAATGTTAGTGTCAAGGTCAAATCTTGATCTTTCAGCAATTCCCTACTACAATGTAAACTGAATGCAAATTTACATTCCATTATACATGTACACAGCCATTTAACATGATCCAATATATACAATATAATCAGGTACATGCTAGCATAAGTTAATACGGTTTCATGTCATAAAACAGTTCACAACCTTTCATAACAAACTGAGTACTTCTAGATTAAATCCGTACGATGACATTTTGTAGCACATGTCAAATTGCAAATTGCTAATAACGTATACTATAACTGACATTTAAGTGACGGTCAAGCGCATATGGTGTGATTGATCGTAATAAAAGACATAAAAATTCAAGAGATCCTCATGCAATATATTAAAACATATTTACAGACACCTATGAAGCGGGGGATATTACATCATCAGAAACATTAATCCGTTTCGGGAGCTGGTTCTACAATTATGGTCACTTTACACTCGGTAGGGAGGACCCTACAAGGATCATTCTGGAAGGCACTTGTCTGGAGCTTTACGTTGTTTTTACGTGCCTTCACGTCAAGACGGTTCCGGTTGCCCCGTGCATGTGACGGAAGGACGGAGTCACAAATGTTTAGGGTTGTATCCAGTTTTCCTGAAGGTCGCGTAAGTTGGCCTGCAGATCTTCCATCTTAGATGCACCTTTTGAAGAAAAACAGAAGTCCAAATTTGAATTTAGAAAACGCCCCTTATTCAAGAATAGACTCTTCCAGCGGCACTAATGGAACGAAACACTTCCAGGAAATTGACTTGTTTCATAGTGAGCCAAAATTGAATGAAAATTTGTTTCCTCTTGTTCCAGCGGCCCAAATTAAACGCTATGGGCCTGTCCAAAACAATTTCACACAAGGTACGGACATATTCATAATCATCTCAGTTAAAGAGTTAATTTATAAAAGGAAGTCCTATACGATTACTAGTTTACGAGTTTTAGATTTGTATGTCTGTCCAGAGGGAGTGGGTTGAAAGTGCGGTGGAGATTGACCAGCAGAATGATAGGTGTTCAAAAGGTCAGATATGGGAAATAGGGTTAGGTTGGAGGTGAGGAAACACCCAAGTAGTTTCTGCTATGTCTAAAATGTACGATTTCTTCAACGTCTTACCTGTTTTGTCCTCCTCCTTGTTGGTGGCTGGGGAAACCCAACATGGCCCGGAAGCTCCTCCACATGTACTCCCCAAGGTCACGGTCATGGCTGACGTCAACGTCGGCGGAAATGGCGTCACAGACGATGGTCATGAGGAAGTTCATCAGGAGGATGAAGATGCAGATCATAAAGGAGGAGAAGAAGATCGGCCCGGTGACAGGATTGGAATCCAACATTTCGTTTGCGAAAACCTGGAAAAAAATCGAAGATTTTACACCCTCTAGAAGTTTTTAGATTTGCTATGAATTCCTTGTTTTATTTAATGTCCTGAACATCTTGCCGACCATGTGCGCATGATGTACAAAATGGCTAATAAACTGGTGGGGGTACCAACCACTATGTATCTGATACCAGCCCAGAAAAGAACAAGAAACAGTCATGCCTTCAAATATCAGAGTTATCAACCAAGAATTGAGGTATTCAAAAACTCGTATTTCCCCAGAACTATGGTAGACTGAAACTCGTTGCCACCAAGCACAGTTGGGGCATCATCACTAGAAAACTTTAAACAACTCCTGCAATCAAATGTGCAAAGATTGAGTGTAACAAGCCGTTCGGTGTGATACAGCTAGCTGCCGCCGCGCCGCGTGCCTGCGAAGCTGGTGTGTTACGCCGAAGGGCGGTTATACCAGCTATACCGATACAGATACACATTGAACTGTCGGTTCCTCTCAGACTACGAGGAGACCATTTCGACGTCAAATTCAACCTTCTTGTCAGTCTGTGGTTACAACATTTCCAACCTCACTTTCTGTGCCTGATATATACAGATTACTATGAACACAAAAAAACAGGTAAAACACACACACAGAAATTCACTTGAAGATAAGCTACCGTTCTTTAAAGAGATTTAGATAAATATGTTGTAACTTTTATGAATCGATGGTTTATGACGATACCCAGATTATTTTAGAATAACAGTTATCCTTAAAACTTACCTGCCAAGCATCATCTCAAAGAGTGCAAATGTTGTGTGATACAGGTCCAAGTATGACTCCATGTGGCCTCCAAAGACAAGGTGTCCTAAAACAAGAGATGAAACCAGGTGTCAAAATCATTTACCCCAACAAACTTTATTAAACATGTATTTATTCCAGAATATTACACGTACCAGCAATTAACTAGTATTGGTAAAAATACCTACATTACACCAGTACAAAGGTATTTCAAACTATTCCTGTGTATAAATTTTGTACGTATCTTAGTGTTCAGTCCTATCGTGTTTTGGGCAGACTCCCTAAGGGGCTGCAAAAGCTCTTCGCCGTCTGAGTAACCCTGCCACTCGTAGTAGTAGTATTGCGCGGCAGGATTTTGACTTTTCCAAAACTTCATGTGCAAAACTCCCACCGGGCGGCCAGTTGAGCTGGTGTGTGTGTGTGGGGTGGGGGGGGGT